AAAGGCAGAGCAGAGCCCCTGCTTTGTCACCACGAGTCCCCAGCACCCAGCACAGTGCCTGACACAGGCACTAAAGAAGCATTTGTAGAGTGGATGAGCTAGTGAACACAAGTATGCTTTACATACTGAAGAAATTCACGTGCAGGTGAACTTTTGGAATGGTTCCCCTTCATAAATCAGACAACGCTTCTAGTTGTTTTGGACTCTTCAACTCAGCCCTTAGAAGAAGTGGAGGCTGAATAAGCACCTTTTGCAGCTGATTTGAGTAAAGAGACTCGGGGGCAGAAGAGCATGGCATCTGCTCCATTTAGAAATTGTTCTTCTGTACATGGGTGACTCCCCCATTCCTATTTTTTTTTTAACTTGCTACTATAAAAAAGCCAACGCTGTTGAATAAACACAGTTGTCTTGGCCTAGCAAACTTACCATGGCGTCCGAATGTGAAATGTTATTAAGGCTCAAAAAGTAAGACCTTAATGTAGTTGGTAAAGGCCTAAGACCTTACTCTTGACAGTAGTTCTGGAATAAGGGCTACATTCTCATTTTTTTTTTCAAGCTGATTCCACTAGTGAGAGGAGATGGGGCAGGGAGGGAATATGTCATTTGTTATCTTTTTCACTAGAATTCCTCACCTCTCATTAAAGAGTCTCCTTAGTACATATTTTTGTCTGATTGCCAACAGTGACACGTAAAAATAGTGATAAATAATCCAGTAAATTGACTAGATGACTTCTGGGTTAAAGAACAATTGAAAAATAGAGCAATAGCAATGCCTGTGGAAGAATGTATTAAGCTTGCTCATTTTCAAGGAGTAGGAAAAGATCATGGAACAGATTTGGAAACACTGGGAAAGAGAGGAAGGCAGTAGAGGCTTCGATCATTTTCCTGGCTTGATGAAGAAACACAAAGGAAATTCACCATCATTTATTCTTCTTCGTGGGACCTCTTTGCCTCCTGTCCCCTCAGCTGCCATGATGGCGGCCATGGTTAGGCTCAGAGACCACCAAGGAGAGAAGACAAAAATTCAGAGGAAACAAAAGCTTACTGGGAAGAAAGAGTGAATTTGTTTCCTACCACTGCTGTAACAGAGTGCCCCCCATGGGTGACAAACAGAAATGTATCGTCTCAGTTCTGGAGGCCAGAAGTCTGAAATCTCTGAAGATAAAGGACAAGGGGAAGGATCTGGGCCAAGCCTCTCTCCTGGACTTGTAGATGCCACCTCTCCCTGTCTCTTCACATCGTCTCCCCTCTGTGCGTCATCTCTGGTCCAGTTCCCCCTTTTCATAGGGACGTGAGCGTATATGATTGGGCCCACCCTAATGACCTCATTGTAACCTCATCATCTATCTGCAAAGACCTTATTTCCACAGGTCACATTTACAGGAATCGGGGGCTAGGGTTTCAACAAATGTTGGAGGGATGCAATTCAACCCATTCAACAAGGAGCATTTACGAAAAAGGACAAGAGAGAAACAAGAACCAAGTGCATGCGATACTGTGTACCATCTTGTGGCCGACGGTGCCACTGTGCCTGTCACACTGCAATTGGTGACATGGTCCTCCTCTGGCTGGCATTGGGGACGTGCAGTGTTTCCTGGTGTCGTGTCTTCTTGGTGATCTTGCTGTTGCCCACTGCCACTCCTGGTTTCTGCTCAACCTGTGAGAGGAAGAAGGCTGGGAATGGGGTGAGGGCCATCCAACGTCTGCTGCCTTCAGACAGAGCTGTTCCAGCCACACTCCCGTGGCAGAGGGGACTGAGGTAGATGAGTCAGGTGGAAACTGGGTAGGGGGGAGAGATGGAGGAGCTCATGTGTAATGCAAGAAGAGAGTATCAGATGGTAGAACAGTAGGAGGAGGAGGAATGTGCAGTGACAGGAGGCAGGGGACTTGGGGCAGAAAGTGGCACAAGAAGAAAGCCCAGCAGTGGCGGGGACTAGGTGCCTTAATAGGCAGGGGTGTGAATTAAGGAGATAACAAACACTGAGGCTAATGTTCTCACATTGTTTCTTTTCCTTTTATGATCCCTTGTACATATTCAGAATATCACTCTGTGCACTTCTTTCTCATGATGAGGAAAAATTCTTTCCTGGAATGAGGGAAAAGGTCTTCTTAGTCAGCACTCATTTCCTGTGCTCAGCCAGGGACCGGTGACCTCTGGGCCAGAATTTTTATTACTTTCCATTTGGGCAAATGCTTATGGGTGAGACTGGCTTTGTAATTATCTCATGGATAAGAAAGCCAGGGGGTCTTAGTACCGTATTTCAAGTGGCGGTGGCAAAGCTAGAGTGTGCCCTGAGGCACGTAGCCACGCGGGCTACCCTGGCTGTGGAGAGGGGACAAAGGAAGGGGGCACCCACCCTAGGGAAGAAATGCTTGGGTGCTAGAGATACACGTGGGGGCTTCAGATCATTACAAGGCTGCCGGGAACGGGGGGACGGGGGGGGGCAGTCTTGTTCCCTGCTGTTGTGCATGATCTCCAGCAGGTGGGAGGTGGATTACAGCTCGCTGAGAGATGAGAGAACCCTGTAGCGTGGTCTGGCTCAGAGCTGCCCAGTCATAGCGCGGGTGCCTAGTGAAGCAGGGACTTCCCGGACACGGAAGGAGCTTGGGCGAGCCAAGACGGCCGTCACTGTCCAAAGGTTCTATGCACTGGTGGGCTCTTTATCAAATGGCCTCCGTGGTTTTTTTTAGATCCGAGTTTTATGTTTTAGTCCTTAAGA